AATAAATATAGATATATATATATAATAAATCTTATATATAAAATTAACGTTGTCAAAATGTTAGTTACCGTACTCCTCCGAAACGGCTTTACCGATTTTTACCAAATTTTATATGCGTATTTAGTAGGTCTGAGAATCGGCTACTATCTATTTTTCATACTGCTAAAGTGATTAGGGAGTCCCTATCCAGCAAAAATATATTTATTGCTTTAACAAAAATTTTTTTATTTTTTTGACATAAATTTTTTTTTTTTGAAAAAGAAAACTTGCTATGATATGAAAAGTTGTTGTCTATGAAAATACTGAATTCATAAAACTGCCCCCTAAAATCTGCATTATCGTTAATAATGCATTAATGCTCTCATTGACCGCGTATTTCCAGATGTACACATACTATACATAAATCATGGTGGCTGGCAGAAAGAGCCATTAGCAGCAAAAAAATGTGGACGTTGATGAATTAAACTTCAAGATAAAACAGATATTGCCAGGCGACTTAATATCAAACAAATCGATCGATACAGTTTGTGATACCAACGAAGTTGTAAACTATCCAGCAGAGTTTTTAAACTCACTGGATTTGCCAGGCATGCCACCACACATTTTACGACTGAAAGTTGGATCACCGATTATTTTACTTCGGAATTTGAACCCACCACGGCTATGCAATAGTACGCGATTGGTAATTAAAAAATTGAAGCCACCATTTTGAATGGCAAGTTCCGAAACGAATAAGTTTTATTGCCACGAATTCCAATGATTCTCACAGACAAGCCAATTTAATTCAAACGCGTTAAATTTTCTATTAGATTGGCATTTGCAAAGACCATCAATAAGTCATAAGGCCAAACGATGTCCAAATTTTATATGCGTATTCAGTAGGTCTGAGAATCGGCTACTATCTATTTTTCATACCGCTAAAGTGATTAGGGAGTCCCTACCCAACAAAAATATCCTTATTGCTTTAACAAAAACTTTTTTATTTTTTGGACATAAATTTTTTTATATTTTTGAAAAAGAAAAATTTTTTTCTTAATATTTTATGTAACTACGCCAACAAGTACATCGAGCATTTACATTCACTTCGTTTCTTCGTCTTCGCCTTGCATGGCAGATGGAAAATGTACTAAAAATTTTTCTAAAGATTTCACTAATGATACTATAACAAATACCGACGAATATCCAATATATCGTCGAAGAAATCCCGATAATGGGGGACAATGGCGGGTGGTGCCATATTCGCCTCTGCTAAGCAAGACATACAATGCTCATATAAATGTTGAGTTTTGCAGTTCTGTGAAGAGCATCAAATATATAAGTATGTCCATAAAGGCAGTGATATGGCTGTGTTTAGAGTAGAAAATACTAATGTAAATGCTCCTCCAATGAACAAAAACGGTGAAATTACGTTCTACCAAATTGGTCGGTACATCAGCTCCAATAAAGCTGCTTGGCGTATCTTCGGTTTTCTAATTCATGAACGGGATCCAGCAGCTGTTCAGTTAGCCGTCCATCTTGAAAACGGTCAGCGTGTATTTTTCACGAACGAGACAGTGATTGATCGTGGTACAAATCCACCTAAAACTACACTCACTGCATTTTTTGAATTGTGTAATAGTACGGATGATTTTGGTGCCTTTGCAAGAACATTACTCTATTCACAAGTACCACGCTATTTCACATGGGCTCAAACAAAAAAATGGATGCCCCGCAAGCAAGTTTCACCAGTTGATCCATGTCTCAATTCATTTAAATCGAACGCTTATTTACAGTTAATCCAAGACACACTGAGTGCTTTTATCTTCAACTGTTGTTGGTTAATGTTACTGGCCCATTATCATTATTATTATTTAGAGTCAATCCAAGACAATTTAAATTTGAAGATACAACAGTTGTTGCCAGGGAACTTGGTATCATACAAATCTACTGATTTTAAATTAATAATTTAATAAATAAACTATAATAACTTTGGCGTTTGTTATTTTTATTTTCCTTTTCGTTCATAGCGCTCCATGCCTATTTCATGCATATACCACAGACTTACACACTTATAATAAGTAAGTTACTTTTTGTCTACACTAGAATTTATCTAGAAACTAGAAATAATTTATATGGCAAAACAACGTTTGTCGGGTTATCTAGTCTTATATATAAAATTAACATTGTCAAAATGTTAGTTACCGTACTCCTCCGAAACGGCTTTACCGATCTTTACCAAATTTTATATGCGTATTCAGTAGGTCTGAGAATCGGCTACTATCTATTTTTCATACTGCTAAAGTGATTAGGGTGTCCCTATCCAGCAAAAATATCTT